AGTCAGGATATACAAGTTCTGGAGTCGGGGAAGAAGTGAGAGGCCGTAGGAGTTTTAACTGTGTTGAGGCTGTTTTAATACTGCCAAGCAAGGAGGAGATGAGACTTCTTAGTGACTAGTGAAGCCTTCAAAGGGCAGAACAGGCTGCTAACGAAGAGCTTTAATTATCCTGTTGTCTGTTGAAAAAGTGTTGTGGCAAGAAACGCAGTCCATAGAATTATTAGAAAACTTGGAGGTGTCTTTTTTACCTCAAAAGGTAGAGGAAGTTGCGTGAGGAGTGGTTGCTTCAGTCGTGTGACTAATGGGGTGGTACTGGCTGAACCCAGCAACAGAAGGTGCCTTTCCTCCCCCAAATTCTCAGAGTGAGAGGGTTCGTTATTTTGAGGAAAGGAATAGACACATCACTGTACTGGCAGTTTGATGAGTGCAACAGACTTCGTACTTTAAGCAAGCACAAACTTTGCCTAAAACGCGAGGGAGAGGGTTATGAGCAGGTAATTGAACAGTCACATGCAGGTTAGAGTCAGGGTGAGGAAAAATCCCAAGTTAAATCACCCATAGATAAGAGAAGTAATAAAGTCTAGGCCTGAAGAGTCTCATCCTGCAGTACTTAAGGAACTATCTGGTGCAGATGCTGAAAAGTTAGCCCTGAATTATTTTCAGAGGGTTGTAGAGGAGAAGGGAAGCCCGGAGAACCAAAGAAAAAGGGGAAATGCAAGTAGAGCCCTTAAAAGGGAAGGGCGAAGATGGAGGGTATCTAGCCTGACTCGTCACGTCTTCATGGTTATCAGCAACAGGAGAGCACATGTTCGTTGGTGTTTATAAGCACCTAGAGAATAATACAGTGATAAACCAGTCGTTATGAACTGCTTTATGCTCAGCTGATGAGGTAACCGTCCCCTTCGTAAGGGTAAAAACAGATCAATGCGTCTTGGCTGTGGTAAGGCTTGTGACACAGTCCCACGTGATGTTCTGATAAGGAAAGTGTAGGAGAGTAATTCATGCTGAACCTCTTCTCTTAGCACCTGATGGTTGTTTCCAGCACTTTTCTGTATCGACACGACCTTTCAGATGCACGCTCGATGTCTGTCCTTAGTCTAGCTCTCTTCGGTATTTTCATTGCACTGGGGGCGGGGCTGCCTACCAGGTTTGGGTTGCTCCAGCTCTAGCTACTTGGTATAGGTGTAGGAAGAACTAGGTTTCCCATTCCCTTCCCTCTTACATGTGCTTGTGTCCGCTCCTTGGAGGCCAAAAGGCAAAGCTGAAATCAGCTGGCAGGTCACTGCTCGGTCAGTGCGACAAAATAGTTCACAGAACTTGCAGGTGCTGGCTGCTTTGACGGGTTTGCAGTCTCTGATTTATAAAATGATAGCTGTTCTAATACTTCATCACCCCAAAAGGATGCTGAATATCCTGCAGTGGAGGTTGAGAGCTAGTACTGATACGAAGGATGAATTTCTGAGATCTTTTCCTGGCCCTGTGCTTCTATTAGCCTTACTATATAAAAAAAAGTCCCAGCTACTTAACTTCTCTGTTTTCCAGCCGTCAGCCTGAGCCACCAAAGAAGGAGAAGGAGGCAACCACAATTACCACCACTCAGTCGAAGAGAGCGGATGAATGGAAGGACCCCTGGCGCCGATCCAAGTCCCCCAAAAAGAAACTCGGCGTCTCTGTCTCTCCCAGCCGCGCGCGTAGGCGCCGAAAAACCTCTGCTTCTTCGGCGTCTGCTTCTGGCTCTTCAAGGTGAGTGAAGGCAAAGAGTGTGTCGCATCCGAGCCTTGTTAGTGTGTCGAGGAGTGCAACACGACTCTTTCTTGTCGGTGGAAGATGTTGAGGTGTTTGGGAAAGCAGTTCAAGACTTGCTGCTCAGTAACAGCTATGGACACCGGCATAAAGGTAGCGAGATGGAAGCTAAAGGGGGCACGTAACTGTGGGTGCTCTGATGCGGTCTGCTGAAGACTAAGAAAAGACAGGTCCTTGGAAAAGTCACTCTTCAGGGAAGTTAGACTTGGAAGCGGTCCAGATGATTAGTAAGTAGCTCACCTAGATGAAAACTGACCTTAATAGGAGCAGAAGGAGCTGGAAGCTGTAAGAATCGGAGGCTCCTCACTCCAGGAGTGCTGGAGGGATGAGGTGAGCCTGCTCCAGGAAGAGCACGCTGATACTACCGGGGAAAACCTGGGGTTGGGGAGGCTTGAGAGAGCCCTAGAGGGCTGCAGTGGAGCTCGGAAACCAACGGGTGCGAGATAAACACTTCTCGGAAAGAAGCGCCCTGAATCTAGGAGAGTTGAGGCATAAGCTGGATCCCTTTTCTGCTTGAACTTGAAGCTCCTGAAAAGAGGGGGAAAAAGTATCAGAGAGGAATGAGGAACATGCTGAATTGAAGATATGGATCTAAAAACCAAAGCCCTCCTGAAGTAGATAGCTTTTCTTGCTGGGATCACTGCACCTGAGACTTTTTTTTTTTTTTTTCTCATACCTGTGTGACCCAACCTATCAGGGGATTGTCCTGTGGAAAGGCATAGCATTGTGTGGAAGGAGTTCTCAAAAAGGGATGGAAGGACATTAGCTAAAGGAGGGGAGGCCCATTCAAGGGTGCAAAGCAAGGGGGCAACAACGGGATCCTCTCTAAAAGAAAAGGGAGACCGAGGAGGGGCTGTAGTCCTGGCAGACCACCAAGGAGAAGGCAGGTCATTTTTGGAGCAGTGTTTGAGAACTTGAGAAGAGTGTACTGGAAACAAGACCTTGGTCTCAGAGGACTTCTCAAGAGGTACTGAATTTTAACACTTTTCTTTCAGGTCCTCTTCTCGTTCATCCACCTACTCTGGTTCAGGTTCCTCGCGATCTCGTTCCAGATCATCATCTTACAGCTCTTACTCTAGTCGCTCTTCAAGACACAGCTCTTTCTCAGGCAGCAGGTCCAGGTAATGGCTCCTTGGATTTGAAAGTAATGGTACACTGTTTTCCGAACACTTGCTAACAGCTGCTTTTGCTGCTACTCAAAAGCAAATAGCCAACTCTTGAAATAAAAACATTCAAACCACTTTCCTGAGTGAGGGAAATACGATAGACGGCAAGGCAGCCTGCCAGTTTGGTTGTTGAATGAAGCAGATACGTCAGCCACCCCCTCCGCTCCCCAGTACCCCCACCCACGAGTCCTGTGCTGTCATGGCTGGGCCGTTTCCCATGCGTGTAGTAGCTGAGCGGTTGTAGGAGCCTGGCTGAGATTAATGTTGCCATCGTTTGCATTTTACGATTGGAAGAAGTTACTGGCATCTCTATCGCACTGGAATTTCTATTACAAACAGGCAAATCACATTTCTTTATTAAAACAGTTGTGTCTTCTTGTGATGGTCCTGACACTTCAAAGTAGCAGTTCGGTGTCCCATGCTGATTAAACAGAGGCATGTTTATTACTCTGCCACTTCCTTGCCCCTGCAGACAGTTTCCCAAGTCTGGAATATGCATAGTAGGAGAACTGGCTCCTTAGGCACCTCTTCAGAGCTGAAATCGCGCAGATACCCAGAGCAGATCACGCAGTTGATGGGAGCGCACAGTGTCGCTTTTGGAGGGGTGGTTTCTCCTAGGAGAGGCTCAGGTGGGAGTTGATCTGGATGCAAGCACATAGGTGTTTCTGGGGAACTGGCTGACCTTCCCCCATCCACCCCATCCCAGGCTCGGTTCCTTGCAGGGCAATGCCAAGCGTAGGTGACGCACTTGGGGTTAGCATGCTTCTCTCTGAAGGCAGGAGGGTGAGGAACGCCCAGGTGCCCAACTGTTCCTCAGAAAGCCAGTCACCGAGGTGTCTGGTGCTCTGAAGTACGAGGCTGCAAGAAGGGTACTTCCAGTCTTGGCAGTGGGGTGAATGAATCACTTGAACGCCAGCATCTGGTGTGCTGTGTAAGTGGCTTGCCTCTTTGGTCAGTCCTGATCTTAGGAAACAGCTCTTGCCCTTTGATCTGTTGGCTTTGATATACTCCGCTTGATTTTTCTCCTTCTGTTCCAGAAATTACAGATATCCAGCTAGATGTATTTTTTTTTTCCTGTCTTTCTCCCAAGATTTTTTTTTTTTTTTTCCCCGCTGCTGTTTAAAGGATAAACTGCACTAGGAGTTACAGGAACATAAAGCAGGTTGAAACAAATCACACTGAACTTGCAAGTCAAAAATCCCAGTTCCTTTCCTGTAGACATATTCTCCCTAAGGAGAGAATACAGAGAGTAGGGAGAAAGCCTCAGGTATTGGTGTGGAACACCTGAGAGTGCCTCTCTTGCAGCCGACCCTGTCTTTTCCTTTTGTTTTCTACTTTTACCGCCGATCTGGTGACAGAAGCTGGTTTTGTTGAGCAGAGTCCAGATATGAAACTGGGATAAGCTCAGACCCACAGGGACTAGTTCCTGGGATGCAGTCACTAGCCGAAGGAGGGAGTGGTGGCTAAATGTACTGTACTGAAAGCCAGGAAAACCTTCTGCAGCCCCAGAGACTGAGTGATGTGTCCTTCCTTTCTAGATCACGGTCCTTCTCATCTTCACCCTCTCCTTCTCCGACACCGTCTCCACACAAGCCGCTTGCGAAGGCTAAAGGGGAGTTATTACCACCTGCTGGTAAAGGGTAAGGCTTCATCTCCGTGTTGATAACGCAGTGCAGAAGAGGCTCCAAACAATAGCCTGATCCCTGAGTCAGACCCTTCTGACCTGGTTGAGAGTTTAAGGAAAAAAAGGAAAACGCAAAATATGACCCGCGTAGAAGAATGCTTAGCTTAGCATATTTAACTAAATGATGATACTTTCACTTATTAAATCCAAGTTAAACTGTACAGGTATCCTTAAGTATTACAGAGAATCATAGAATCATTTAGGTTGGAAAAGCACCTTAAGATCGAGTCCAACCATTAACCTAACACTACCAAATCGACCGCTAAACCATGTCCCTAAGCGCCACATCGAGGTCCCCGTCACGTATACACGAGTGTTTAGACACATGCCTGATTTACTATTCAAACATTCTGTACGTGCCAATATGTTTAGACAGGAGCTATAAGAAAGTTTCGTTCATTCCTCTGCTGTGGCTTTAGTTAACGCACAGCCTTAGAATAAAGAAATGGTTCGGCCTCATCTACTTTTAACAGTGGAGACAAATTAAAACAGCATTATAGCTATGAAACTGGTTTTGGCAGATTATGCCAGCGCTCCTGCTCTTTTAAATACTTGAAGTTGCTATTTCACAAACTCCTGTAATACGTAGTAAATTATGGATATGTTGGAGGGTGACGCAACGCCGTAATGATGTCACCTTTTTAAGTTGACCTGCAAATAAATGACACCATGGGAATCCCCCTGAATTCTCCGGAATATGGGACAATCCCCTTTGCCACACTTCTTGTGCCTTATTGACCTGGTTTAGTGTGTTGGTTGGTTTTTTGGTTGGTTTTTTTTTTTTTCCTTCTTAACTCAGTTCAGCCCTTTAAGGACACGCTCTCCGCCTGCAGCGATGTCTTTACACCCTTCTACTGCACATTGCAGTGCTGGTTTGGTAACACGCGCCGCCAGCCAGCAGCCTGCACTAGCACGGGGATTGTTTTTGTGGCGTAACATTGCATGCGCTTAATCCTGTGTTCTGCAGGGGATGAGTACAGATATTCTTAAGCTCAAGAGGAGGAATTAACAGTCTCTATTTTTGTATGCAGACAGCCGCCTCCTCCCCAGTTAATAGTAGGCGTGACATCAGTGCTGGGGATGTTGAGCAGTAACCAGCTATTAGAGCAGAGGCTGGAGTGCTCTGAGCCCAGAAGTGAGCAGCGCTGAAGAGCCAAAGCGATTCCCGTCTTGCGTAGTGGGTGCTAGATAAAGTCGCAAAAAAAAAACCCTTGCGTAGCGGTCCTCTTTGCCCGTTAGATGTTCCGCAGGGTAGCGCGAGCCAAGGGACGGGCCTGGGGGACGTTTGCACACACGGGCTCTTTTGCACCCTGCTAATCTGCTTGACGGAGTGAAAAAGAGCATTTTTGCACAGACTGCGTGCCTTTGATTCTGAAGCCTGACTGGCAGATTTTAAGTAGGTGTACGTGTCTGGGATAAAAACGCACAGAATCAAACGGATAAGAAACAGCAATTCCACGCAGTCTACTTCGTTAGTTAATTTACAAGTCGAATGTCTCCAAAATTGGCAGTTATATAGTAACTTGTCTCCGAAAAGGTGACTTGATTTAGAACATGGGAAACAGATCCCTGTAGGGGAATCCGTATTGTTTGCGAGTGTTTTGGTGAAATAGCCATGTGTCTGTAGCTACAGCAGTCATACCTATATAATATTTAGTCAACAGCAAACGTGAATGCGTTTCATCGCTTTTGAGAAAGTCTGTGTTGTGTACCTACCGAGTTTGAACAAGCGCATGAAAATTTTAATTTTTTGCAGTGAAAAATCTGTGAAGAAACTAGCTGCCCTTCCAGTCCCTCAGCCACTCACTAAAATTACAACAGCTGCACCGGAGCCAGCCAAACCAGGGGATAATCGAGAGGCAAGGAGGAAGGAACGTCAGACAAGGACTCCACCCAGGAGGTAAGAAAGCTGTGGGGTGGAGTGAGGCTTGATCTCCTGGAAGATAGAGCAAATCCTGGGTTTCTCTCGGGAGTACCAACTGCGAGGGCTCTTTGGTATTAAAGGATAAATCTGTTTCCTGGGGCAGGGAGGAAACGGGAAGAGAGGGAACGAGTTGGGGGTGAACGCTGGTGACTTGCCACAGCAAGTGGCTCCTGCCTCTGAAGGCTGGTTGGGGGATGAAGTAGGTGGAATACACGAAATGTGTCAAAAGGCAGGGTCTGCGGTGCAAAAAAAGGCACGTTTGAGAGCTGCTGGCTGCGGAGGCCGCGCAGCGAGGAGGCAGAGGTGCGTTGGTCCTGAGAGCAGATCTGAGGCGTTGGAGGGTCAAGGTTTGTGGTGATGGGTTTGGGCCCCGGTTACTCTAAACAGGTGCCAGTATGCTGGGAGTATTTCTGTGTGGTCCCAGGAGCTGGTTCGTCAGCGTCCAGCAGTACCGCTGGAGGGAAGGGGAAAAGCTCTGCTGCTCTCGCTGTCCCCAGCACACAACTTGCTGGCTCCCCTGCTCTGCTTTCTCTTCCTGGCTTCGTCCCGTGCGACTAGTTTGAATGTTTCAAGTGACTCGTTCTGTCTGTCCTCTAACTTTTTCTGTTGCCTTTTTCTCCCCCCTTTGCATTTGAAATGAGAGAGGCTTCTGACGATTTTCAAACAAGGAGCACTTGTATGCATCTAAATATGTTTATCAGGCTTAATCCATTGTACTGCATTTAAAAATGTTACAGGGTAAACACAGGTAGCATTGCCTGTACTCATCATGCATCCTTCTTACGTTAGAAGTTTTGAAATAGCAGTATGGTACCTACGTGTCTAGTCCATGGAAGCAGTAGTTTGGTGCCTAAGAAATGTATTCGCTAGAAATGTCTGCTTTATGAGCGCACAAGGAGACTGGGAATGTTTTATGCCTGCAGTAGGGCATATATGGTTCTCTTGGATCGTGGAGTGATGCTTTTTGTCAGTGTGTTTTGAAGATGGCTATAAGTCTGGTTTCCCTTCAGGTTTTCAGAAGCATCCTGAGGTCAATTCTTAATTTTGCATGGGATTACATCTCCTGTTTCTTCCCAGTAGCTAAAGAAAAGGCCTGGGCTGAGCAGTTATGTCTCCACAGGTGAAAACTGGTCATCACAGTTTCTTTTCCCTAGAAACTCTGTCAGTTCTAGTTTCTGTTTCACTTTAACTGGTTAATGATAATCTTGGATGTCTTTAGCCACCTTCCCATATTCTTTATTCCAATCTTGGGGTTGTGGGGTTGGGGTTTGTTTTTTTTTTTCATGCTTAGACCCACACAAACCCCACTGCCCTCCACTCTCCCTGCTGTGCAAATGACAAACCAGCTCTATTTATGTTAGTACTGATGTGTTAGTCACCAAAAAAAATGTGTATGATTATTTGTGTAGCCTGAAATATGAGGTAGTCCCCACTGTGTTACGCAGTTATCAGTTTTTCTTTGTAGGAAGCATTTGCTCCTGGTATCAGCACAGGATTAAGGTGCTTTAGCTGGTTCTTTGCCTGGCTTTCATTAGCATTATTCAGCCTTGCATAAAATGTCTACTGTTGAGAAAACAGATGCTTTCTCAGGACGGGGAACGCAGGGTTGAGAAGATCATCTGAAACAATTAACATTTGCAAAGCGCCAATCTCGTATACAATACAGAGCAACAGCATCATGCTCAAACTGTCCCTAAACAGTTTCTTCTAAGCCCGTTTCACGGCGGAGCACGGCGAGGTGAGGATGTCCTTTGCTATCTTGCAGGCGGACTATCAGCGGCAGCATCAGCGGCAGCGCCAGCAGCTACAGCGGTTCCAGTTCCCGATCTCGGTCCTTGTCTCGGTCTCTCTCCAGATCTCATTCCAGATCATCGTCTGCCTCAGTCTCCCACTCCCCATCTGGGTCCAGGAAATCCAGGTACAGCCTTGACCCTTGATAAGCTTTGCTGAAGTAGGAGGACATTATAACTATTCTTAACTGTTGTGATTTCTTGCAGCGAAAGCTCTCTCTAGCTTCAAGTATCAGAAGCGATAGGTAACTAGGACGTGAAACAAGATCGTTTCTTTGTGTAGTGTTATGAATCCCAAGTCCGGAATCGTGACAGTAGTACAATGTTGGTAGCGTCCTCGTGGCTTATTCAAGGAAATGATCAGTCACGTGTGCCAAAGTGCCCGTTTTTACCTAAATTACGACCAAAGCATCTCCGTATGGCCAGGGTGATTCCACAGCCTAATTTATTTACAAGGTAACTGTTTTTGGCTACGGAGCTTTGCTCTTCTAAACCTCTACTGCCTCTGGTTATTGGATGTCCTTAGGGAAGACGCTTGGCCTGTCAGGAGAGGTAGGTCAGAAAACACCTAAAAGGCCCAGCTAATGATATTTTTACTTTGCTGGTAAAGTTGCACGGCCAGTTCCCTTTGTGTTTAGCCCCAAGTGCATAGTTATATGGCTGTTAGTCTGTGGGATTTGTAAACAGCTAACTCCCTCCAGTAGAGTCATGAAACAAACCTCCTTCAAGTCCTTCGTTTTGGTTTTTTGCATTTGTTTGCGCACAGGAATCCCTAAAACCTTACAAGCAGCCTTGAAACATGACGCTTGCCTGTGATACAGATTTAAAAGTAGACCAACAGAGTAAAACTAGTGGATTAAGTAGGGCTTGGCTCTGACCAACGGTAATTCATGTATCTGAACTCTGTGAAACTCCAAGGTTCAACATCCGCATTATTTTACAGAAATACAGACTTGTTTACTACATGCTTGTCGCATTCATCAGATCAGGCAGGGGTGATGCAAGAGGTTCAGAGAGCGCTCGGGCACGCTGGCTCTGCGCTGCGCTGCCGTATGGGGCTTGAGAGGAGAAGATGGGGAAAACTTACTGCAGGTGTTGCTTGTGTGGCACCAGGGCCATGCTTGCTGCTATTACAGGGGGTGGGGAAAAGGAGGAAACATAGGAAATAGAGTCTGTGCCCAAACTTTATTTGCTGTCACAACCTTGTAGCCCGGAGCTTTCCTGGAGAAGGAGTTTCTGGCTCATCCAGTCACCGTTGCAGCAGTCGATGAGGCCTCTCGAAACTCGTCTCTATCGGGATACCAGCGGGTAGCAACTTTGCAGCTTGTTCCAGGGGCTTGTCTGCGCTGCAGCTGCCGCAGCCCCTTCAGTCGTACGCAAGCTGGCTTCCGGCAAGTGAGCTCGGACATTGCTGGCAAAGCAGTCGCTGGAGCACAAAAGTCTGTGTGACCTGCAGAACCTGCTGGAGAGGCTGCCTGAATATTCATGTAGCTAGCGTATGCCTGGTCCCACGTGGCAGCGGCTGCAATGCCAGCCGGCTCCCAGCTAGCTGGGATTTTTGGAGCCGCTTCAGTATAGCGAAGCGGAGGTGATGATGTGCCCCTGAAGGGAATTCTGATGCACAGCCCTGTATATATATTTTTTTTTTGTCTGATACATTTCCAAGTAGAAAGCCTTCCTTAATATAATGATTGTCTGACATTTTTAATGTTGTGAATCCATTAGAAGATAGCCATCTCATAGGCACTATTAGAAGATAGCCATCTTACTGGCATCTTCCCTGTCGTTATCAGTCGTGACAGTATGCACATCCTCAAAACAGGCAGCTGGGCTCTCCTCTACCCTGGGGAGCTGGGCAGGAGCTGTGGGCTGTAGGACTCCAGGGCTTTTAAAGCTTCTGTGAATAAATGTGTGCCAAACAACAAAAACATTGCCAGGGAACCCTTGATCTGAGCCCTAACACTGACCTGTACATGGTGGCGCACACCCTGCTTTCACTTTTTGTTTACCTGGGGAAATAGTGACCTGTTTACATGTTGCCTTAACGCTGTTTATAAATAAAGAGTACTTTCTAGACTTGCATCTAACATGTTTGGGATTTTTCATCTCGTCAGCACCCCAGGAGACACAGCCTTTATCTCTTCCTGGTTATTGCCTGCCTTCGCAGCTTTCTGACATCCCAGCCACTCGGGGGAATTAAAACAAAGGTGTCTGTCTCATCGCTGCCTGGTTCTTGTTGCATTCGTGACTGTAACGGGCTGTTGGCTCTTTCCAGGTCCCTGAGCGTGAGCAGCGTTTCTTCTGTCTCTAGTGCCTCCTCTAGCAGCAGCTCTGTACGCAGCGCCGACTCCGAAGACATGTACGCGGACTTGGCCAGTCCTGTTTCCTCAGCCAGCTCCCGATCCCCAACCCCAGCGCAGCAGAAGAAAGGTAGAGGTACCTGGTTTGGAATTTTCTTCTCCAAGGGGTCCTGGGAAAAGAAGGGCGGCGGGGGGTGGAGCAGAGATCTGCATACATCTTGCTTGGTGATACTGTGGGCTCCAGGAAAATTGTTGAGCAGAACAGACGCTTATGGCTGGCGTAGACTAGGGGAGCCCAGAGGCTTCGCCTGAGGAGGGTGAGGCCATGGAGAAGGGAGGCTGCGGAGCAAATGGGCGTTTGCATCCTTCCATCCATGTGTCTCTGGCTGTAAAGATGCTTCTTCCTGCCTGGGAGTTCTGCCTGATGCCCCCTCACTTACCTTGTTCTCTTTCACCCTTGTGAGGTGAGGATAAATCTTCTGGACAACTCCAGTATCGTGTTGCTCTTCCTCTGTTCTTTTAAACCATAGCAGAATTGGCAGCAAGAGCTTTTTGTTCTTTGTCTTTTCTGGTAAGCATCCTCTCTGCAGAAATTCTGGTTTCCTGACTTTTTTAACCTCGGGGCCACATGCTGTGCTGACTAGTGTGGACTTTTTCAGTCCCTGGAGCAGCGTCCTCTTGCCCTGTCCTCCAAAGGGAGGGCAGGCGAAAGGAATCGTTCGCAAGTCACGACATCTGCTCTCTGTTTTCAACAGGAAAGTCAAAAAAAGAAGATAGCGCTAAAGAGGAGAAGCGGAAACGGGATGCGCCCGCTCAGCTCCTAAAATCAGCCAAGCCCACCCAGGGGAGCAAATCGCAGCAGCTCCTCCAGACCCAGCAGCCCTCAGCCCCCCAGTCTCAGCAAGGGGGCTTCAGCGCTCACAAAGAGATCAAACTGACGCTCTTGAATAAGGTGAGAGGTGGGGTGGGTGCACAGGGGGGTGGTTCCGAGGCACGGATGGGATGGATACTGGGGCTCGGGGCTGGCGGAAGGGTTGCTCCAGGCTCCGTGCTGTCGGGATGAGCTCAGTCGGGTAGGTCTGCAGCTGGGATTGAAGGGCGGCGGACAGAACCAGTCTGGCAGCACACACCCTGTGGTGGCTTGAATTTGGGACTGTGTTGGCGGCTCCCCTGGGGCACATTCCTG